TTGTACTTGGTTGGATCCACAATCAACACTCATGGTAGCAGCAGTCAAGAAATCAAGACATATTAGATTGAGAAAATCTGCTGTCAAAGACCTCTTTAAAATGACAAAGAGAAAGAATATCAGTTTAAAGACTAAGGTGTACTAAATGCAAGCCATGGTCTTTTCCATTACTCCCTGTGCATTTGACAGATGGATAATAAAGAAGAACAAGCTAAAATAAACGCCTGGGATTGAGGTGGTGGCAAAGAGTATTAAATATTCTGTGGACAGCCAAAAGAAGCAAAGATTGTAAGAATTTGTCTCATGTACCTTTTGGTTTGTTATCAGGATGGTCAGCAAAAGAGGAAGAGCCTTTAACAGTATGGATTTCAGAGTGACCCAATGGGCTCAAGCATGGGAGAGGTCATGAGGATGGCACAGGATACAGAAGGTTCAGGTCTGTTGTTCTTAGGGTACCAAAGAGTGGATCCTGGTGGTGGAAGACATCTAACAATAACATGGGTTTTTAAAAAATCAAGAAAACAAAACACAATCACGTGGCCTCTTCTGAATCCAGCTTGAATTTCTTGAAATAAAATTCCTCTGGATTTACTGATCCAACTATTTTTTAAATGATCTTCAGTAACAATTTACTTGAATGTGTAGTACTAATGATATTGATAATTTCCACATTCTCTCCCATTACTTTTTAAAAAATAGACATACAGATCCCTTTCAATCAGTTGGACAGACAGCTCTCTTCCATATTTCTTGGCACAAATAAGCACATTCAGGGCTGCCTCTGTTTGTGTTGGAACACCTCAGTTGCTATTCCATCAATTCTTGTAGGCTTATTTTTCACCAATGTCTTCAATGCGTATTGACGTCTTCAGTACCATTGATTCTTGATCATATGCTACTTCCTGAAATAGTTAGGCATCAACCAATTCCCTTTGGTAGACTCTATGCATTCTTTCGATCTTCTTTAGATGCTTTTTTTGCCAGTCAATATTTTGCCTACAGACTCAAGTATTGCAACTGAAGTATAATTTTTTTTTCTTCAGTTCTTTTTAGCTTAGGAAATGCCCAATGTGTTCTCTAATAGGAAATAAGAGCATTTATCTGTATCTTGCTTATTTCTGTATTCCCCAACACCTACAGCAGAGCTTGGTGCATGGTGAGAACTCACAAATGGGGAAAAGTAGGATTGGTCGTTTCTTACTTGGAAGGTCTTACTAATTTAAATGATCTTTTGGATTCTAGACCCTCGCCTCTTGCTCCTTAAGTTCTATCTCATTTGTTTATCAATCATCATCCAAGGAGTCTAAGGGGACCTCAGACCAAGGACACAGGTTGTTTTTGGGAGATGCCTGACTTTACCAGACTTACTGTGCTTGTGAATTCCTGGCTTCCGTCTTTAGAACTCATGAGCATATTCCTGTGATGGACTGAATTATGTCCCTCCCAACACGGACAGTGAGTTCAGGTGGCCTTGTGATAAGGAGCTGCACTGCCAAGCCCAAGTTATTGGTTTGAATCCACCAGGTGCTTCATAGGAGAAAAATGGGCAGTCTCCTCCCTTGTTATTTACTGCCTGTGGAAACCCTCTGGAGGGTTATCTATGGGTCAGTTCTGACTTAATGGCACATAACAACAAAATGTGTGCTATAAATCCTAATCCATATATCTGTCGATGTAATTCTATTTGGATATAGTTCTCTTTTTTACAGCTTCTGACAACCTGATGGAAGGTCAGCCATGAGTCAGTTCCCACCTCTATGGAACATAAAAACAAAACCAGTATAGGCATGCTGTAGGCCAATCACTTTTGAGGTATAAAAAGAGCAGACCAGGTTCAGAAAGAAGCAAGCAGATGGTGAAAGTAGATGCAGTGTCACATGATGATCCTCAAGGAATCAAACGGAAACTGTGTGGAGACGAGGACTTTGTCCCAGAGTTGACACAGAAAACACCATCTCCTAGAACTGGTTCTCTGAATTCAGACTTCCAGAACCCTGAACTGTGAGAAATTTTCTGTTTGTTAAAGCTGCCTACTTGTGGTTATTTCCATTATAGCAGCATTAAGAAAGTAAGACAGTTCTTCAGTCAAACTATTTAGGAAATCTTCCTGCCCAGAACCTATCTTGGAATAATAAAAGTCCATCGTATTCTCTGAAGAGGGTTAAAGCATTCCATTATGATTTTCGCTTTCCCTCCAAACTGAGCTGGTTTAAAATTAAGAAAGGTGTGTGTTAGGTTATTATTCAATTTGTATGTTGAAGAATGTGGCATCAGAACTGGAGGAAGGCTTATCAATAACATTCATTATGCAGATGACACAAACCTTGTTTGCTGAAAGCACTTGAAACACTTGCTGCAGAAGATCTAACATTACAGCCTTCCATACGGATTGCATCTTAATATCAACAAAAATTCTCACCACTAGGCTGATAGGCAATATCACAATAGATGGAGAAAGGACTGATTCTGTGAAGGACTTCATCTTACTTGGATCCACAATCAATAGGTACCAGCAGTCAGGAAATCAGGAAACGTCTTGCAGTTCTACAGGAAGTCTACAGTCAGAGAGGTCTCCAAATTATTTCAGGGCAATGATGTTAGTTTGAGGACTAAGGTGTGTCTGGTTTAGGCCAGAGCCTTTTCAATCACTTGCTAATCTGAGAGCTAGACAATGACCTATGGATGATAGAAGAATTGAAGCTTTTGAACTGTGCTACTAGAGAGGAGTACTGGATATCCCATGGATTGCCAAAAGATCAGGTTAAGTCTTGGAGAAGGTGCAGCCAGAGAGGCAAAGATGATAAAGCTTTGTCTTACATACTTTGGGCATGTTGCTAGGAGAGGCTATTCCTTGGGGAATGACATGATGCTTGGAAAGGTAGATGGATGGCAAAAGAGAGGAAGACCCTGTGGACTGACAGTGACTGCAGCAATGGACTCGAGTGTGTTAGCGATTGTGAGGATGGCACAGGATAGGACAGGGCTCAGATCTGTGGTTCATGGGTTCTCTATGAGTCGTAATTGACTCGATGGCACCTAACAACAATGACAAAATATTCAAAGTAGTCAAAGCTACACAAAGTGTGCTGTATGGACTCTCCAGCATATATCAAACATAAAGATTCCTGAGGAAGGGATGCAGTACATAAAAGATTACGGTGGACAGTGAACATCTAAAATGTACAGGGTTCACTGGATCCACTGTCACCAGCCTCAGAAACTTTGCTCTCATCCTACACAGAGGCAGAATTAGCAGCTCTCAGACCTAAACACAGGGTCACCCTAGATAAAAGGCAGTACAGACACATGACAGACTACCTTGCTGAGGTAGTGCCATTTTACCCAAAGCACTGACTCCCTGATACTATCCCCTTAGTACTGGCCAACTATTAGAGTCCATACTACCACTTCTTGTCCTCCTTGGTCTCTATTCTTCCTTATTGATCATTATTATTGGTCTCCTTCTGGCTATTCCTATGACTCTGCCGTCCATAAACTGTAGGTAACTGGGTCAAAATGGTCACATATTAAGAAGCTAATTACTGGGCCAAGTCTAAAGAAGGACAAAGAGGCAGCTGGAGCAGCTGAGGCAAGCTCAAGACAATTTGAGGTTATGACAATGGAGGAGTGGGTCCAGTGACAGTCTGGGGTTGAGCGGAGACACACACTGAAGAGGCCTGGGAGCGAAACAGGCAGACAGTGCTGGCACCACTTCATCTGGGTCACTTCTTCCTGAGTGACCACTTACGCCAGGGTGACAAAAATTCGACCAGGTAGCAAAGAACACATGTGTTTTCTCAAATTAAATACAAAAGTACATAACTCTTCATTGCAATTTTTAATATTTCACTTGTGTAGAACTGAAATTTGCATTTAAAGGCACAGAAGGAAGGAAAGGCAGTTATCAGAGTAGGAATACATAGACAAAGGAAGCTAGGTAACAAAGTAATAGAACTGCTCCTTTCAAGCCTTTGGAAAGTAAAAATCGCAGTACCAAACTATACTTTCATTTTTTATTATATTTCATGTAAAGACATCACTCAAATATCAGCTTAGCAAAAAACTTTATGGCTAATACCAAGGGTGCACAGTTGATCCCACTTTGGAATAAATGCACAGAAGGTAAACATCAGTGAGTGAGCTTGAGGCACAAAATAAGTTCTCATTCAGAGAGTGGATAGAGCTTTGAAGCAATCAAACATGTACTTGGAAGAGGAATCCTTTGTGACATTTGTTTTCAAATGAGAAAGAGTTTGCATATAAACAATTATAATTAAAAAAATTATAATTTTCAAAAGTAGAACCAGGCCTGATTAAACCATTTTAGGACTTACTGATAAAAATACAGAAAAAGTGAAACTCTTCTGTCCTTGAAAGAGACAAAAACTCTCTTTTTCCTGTAATGTCACTAGAGAATCATCAGTATGTAAGTCTCTTAAAATGGCATTTCCCTTTCCACATTCTGCCACCTTAAACATAGTAAAACCTGGTCAACATGGCAATTTCTGCTAAGTGAAAGGATGCACAATTTATTAAATAAGAGTATGAATGAGAAAAAGCTGATTATCTTTAAAAATGTTTTTTTACCTAGTGTGGCCAAAACCACCAGGTGGAAAGACTGAGGTCTTCTTAAACAATAACAACAAGAAACAATGATTTAAAACATTTGGTACACAATTTCTAATTTTAAAGCATTATTAGAAACTCTTAATTGATACGTAGCAACAGAGGCAACAGAAATTTGTTAAAACTGTATAAGCACATTTCTTACAACTCCCATTAAAATAAAATGGACTTTACCAACTAATCTCTTTCTTCCTTTTTCAAAACACTGATCGGACAGGTTAAATCACAACAGTATAAAAGTAAAAATAAATTTCAATGTCAGTACCAGCACAATGATCAGGACCATGTTTCGGTCTTCCGAGAAGACTCAGTGGTGTTCTCATTTTTAAACCTAAGCCCCAGACTCCTCAGGTGCAGAGTCCACAGAAGTGTGTAAAAAAACAAGTTCTGTATTTTCTCAAATCATTAACAAGTTGATGAATTAGATGTCAAAGATAAAACTGTACTTTAAAAACTTTAAGCCCCTAAATTTTATCCAGTGTTTTCTTTAAGAAATGAATTATTACTAAAATAATTTTTGAAATGCATTTAAATCTGAGTTTTTCTGTTCTTAATAATGCTTTTTTTTTTAAAAAAAAAAAAGTTTAAAAACATCAAGAGCCAGAACATGCTGCCAGAACAAAAATAATCTGGAAAGTCTTCAGTCGCAGACTTTGGGCATCTCAGTCTTGTTTTGTACTTCTCAAAGCTTGAAGTCTCTCTAGTAGCGGAGGATGAGAATAATGCCACATGGAAAACAACCAGTCAGAAACAGGGAAGCCCAGGTTATCTTTGTTTAGTTTGATTAAAGCTGAATATAAGTCTTTAGCTTTCCCAAGTTTCTTGGCAAATGCATCAGCTTGAAACTCAAATCGGCGACTTAGGACAGTCAGGCAAAAAGAAAGAACCTGAAAAAGCAAACAAAAGTTTTCAACCACTCCTCATTTCCTTGTTATTAAAGATCTTATGAGCTGAGACTATACAGGAAATTGAGCTTACAATAATAGGGCAGGCCAAAACAAAGATCATTTGTATTTGAGGAACTTCAGAGGTATTATAATATAAATTATTTTTTCCCCTCCCAAAGGGACCAGAAACATGTATCCAAATGAATGTTATCTTTACCCAAAATAACAAGTTCTGAGACTCTGTCATGACCTATGAATTCCTTTTTACAGATGAGGAAAGTGAAGTTTAGAGAGGTTACATAGCTTGCTTGAGGTCACACAGCTGGCAGGTGGTGGTGGTTAGAGGCTATGGCTTCAAGCCTGTGCATACCACCTCTCACAGAGGTTAAATTGTATGACACATATTCAGTGTTAAATTGAATTTACATTCAGACTCAATTTTTTTTTTCTTTATATTTGGTCACTTAAAGGATAATGACAGGTTTCCCAGATAATATCTATATATATTTACATGGCATATTAAAAAGAAAATTAAAATTATGAATTTGTCAGTGAGGAAAAAGACAAGAAAATTTTAAAAAGAAAAGAAGCATAAGGAGGTTATTTACTATACACAGCTCAGAATGCTTTGGACATTACTGAACTGTGGTTGGAAACAATGAAAGTTATCATTATAAGGTTCTGTATCCTCTATTTGAAGGAGTAACAAGCTATAGGGCATTTTATAAATACTTTCAATGAAATTTTAAATAAAAATACTTTCAGAGTTTAAAGATGGTAACTCTCAGTTTTCTGGGAAGTTTTCATTCATGTGGACAATGTTATACAATTATGACCCATGCCTCTCTGGCTTCTTTCCTAGGAAAGCCTTTCTGTTTAAGGAGAAATGGGATTCATTTAGCTTATCTTAAAATCTTAGCTCTACAACTGAACTATCCTAACAAAAAAGCTTTGATTGTGCTTATTAGATAGTGTGGAGGGAATTGGTTTACCATATAATCATTCATACATATTTTATGACATTATTACAGTATCCACAGTGTAACCTCTCTCTCCGTCTTTCTCTGTGACTCTCATTTCCATTCACCTTTCTATCCTTTCTTTCTCTCTTTTCTGGAATATCTTATCTCCCTCTGTAATTATTTCTAAATTTAATTTTGAAGTCTTACTAAATATCAAGAAAAGTGCTATCGTCAAATACATTAATATACCTTATCATTAGCCCATGCCTTATCACACATATGTAATCTCCCGAAAGCATCGATTCTTAAATTTTAGTAATATAAAATATTGATTTAGTGGATCTGGGGTAGAATCCAATCGCTATTTTTTTTTTTCTTTCTTTTATTATTTTTGTGTGAGTGTACCGTCAAATCAGATCTGACTGGTACAGGAGGAGATTGTCCCTCCTTCCCTGGCAGAGCATCTGGTGGATTCGAACTGTGCGCCTCTGGGATTGCAGCTGCAGCTCCTTGCCACTAGGCCACCAGAGCTCCCCTCCAATCGCTATTTTGAGAATACAATCTGAGGAACATATCACCTAGACTCACTTACCTAATTGTTAATTGTTTTTCACTGCCATCAAGTGACCCTTCAGTGGGTTCTCAGAGGCTGTAAATTGCATAGGAGACTACTCATCTTTTTTGCTTTTGGTTTGACAACCTGACTCCTTACCCACTAGGCCACCAAAGCTCTCTTAGCCACATACACACAATTATTTGTTTTGTATTCTCATACACAGAAGAGGACTCTTTTAAGGGTTTGTATATCCCCAAAAGACACATTTAAGTCTTAACTTCTAGTGTGTGAATGTGACCTTATTTGAAAATAGTCTTTATAGATGTAACTAGTTAAATTAATATGACTATGCTGGGACCTCTCCAAAGTGCTGAAGAGCAGTGGTTCTCCTCTGGAGACTAAGGTGCGTCTGATACAGGCCATGGTCTTTGCAATCACCTGTTATGCATCAGAGAGTTGGACAATGACCAAGGAGGATAGAAGAAGAACTGATGCCTTTGAGCTGTGGTGCTGGAGAAGAGTACTGAGAATACCATGGACTGCTAGGAAAACAAATAGATTTGTCCTGGAGAGGGTTAAACCGGGTGGCTCCTTGGAGGCAAGGATTCTGAGGCTCCGTCTAACTTACTTTGGACATGTAGTGAGGAGAGATTGGTCCTTGGAGAGGGACATCATGCTTGGGAGGGTGGAGGGACGGCGCAGGAGAGGAAGGCCCTCTATGAGGTGGATTGATTCAGTGACTGGGATCATTGGGATGGGAGTGTCAGAGACAGTGCGATTGGCACAGGACAGAGCGGAGTTTAGGGCTGTTGTACATAGGGTCGCTATGAGTCGCAGGCGACTCGATGGCACATAACAACAACAACAACATGCTGGAACAGGACAGGTCCTAAACTACTGTCTCCAGATCCCTTGTAAAAAGAGAACAAAGAGACAGACGGGAAGACAATCATGTGAGGACAGAGGCCGAGAGTTTTACCACCACAGGCCACGAGACACCTGAAGTTCAAAGACCAGAAAGGATCTTGGGAAAGAGCATGGCCTATACCTTGCATGCAGATTTCTAGTCTCCAGAATTAGAAGACAATGAATTTTTGTTGTTTTAAAATCACACAGCTTGTGGAAATTTGTTACAGCGGCCTTTGGGAATAAATACATTATTCAAACACTGGGGAGCAGGGGTTTTGGATTTGAGGCAGTCAGTAGGAACAGGGCATACATAGCATTACAATAGCTAACCTCCAGCTACCAAGTCTCTGAGATGCACCCTGTAGATAGATAGATACACTGAAGTCCAACTCTACACTTTTTTTAAGAAACCAAACAAAAAAAAACCATAACAATTTAACAGTACATATTTGTTTCACTTCCTAAACAACATGCCTCCAGAAACTCTATGAACTTTGATAAATGTTGATAGATGTAGAGGGGCTTCAGGCCTTTTGTTCATAGGGTCACTATGAGTCATGCTCGACTCAAAAGAAATCAACAACATTTGTTTATTAGGACTTGGATATTTTTACCACTTTCTTATAGTGAAGAGACTAAAAGATTTTGTTGATCTATCTGTTGAAACTATACAACTTGTTTTCTTTTTCATCACCCTAAAGGTTCTAGAAGAGAGCTCTGGCGATCTAGTGGGTGGGGAGCTGCAATGCTAGCCCCAAGGTGACACCTCTCTCTGCCAGATGGAATTTACCAGCTGCCACCATGGGAGATGCACAACATCCTCCCATGTGATTAAATCTTCTCTGAAAACCCGCTGGACGGTCAGCTGTGGGTCAGTTCCGACTACACAGCACTGAGAGAATTCAAAGATTCTGGAGAGAGTTTGGGAGGCACAGTGCTGTTGTGCTGCTAACCCAAAGGCTGTCCTCCGCTGGAGGCTGAAATCCACTAGCTGCTCTGCCAGGAAAGGACGAGCAGTCTCCCACCGAGCAATTAACAGCAGTGGAAAACCCCTGGAGGGCAAGCTGTGAGTAGGAACCAACGCGATGACACTGAGAGGAGGAAGAGGGAGAAACAGGCAGGGGCATAGGTGAGACAACCACAGATCACACATTACCTCATTATAAGGTGAAAAAATAAACTGGAATATGATCAGTAGTCCAATTAGAGTGGGTTGACTGTCATAAAAACCAAATGCCGCAAAAAGTTCCTTCCGACCAATTAATATGGCAAACAAAAAAAAGCACAGGAAAGAATTCATCTAGAAAAAAGGGCACAAAATTATTAAAGTGATATCACAGTGGGATCAGCGTATAAAAGAACAAGCAATCATGGTGTGATTTAACTGTAGTTTTAGTGTGATCACAGAAAAGGTCATATAGGTAGCTTATAGTTTCACTTTTATTCTAGAAAAGGAAATAAAATTTACACATCTAGGCACAGTATCTTTCCATTCAAAACATCAATATATTTTTTTATAGAGACAGGCCTACATTGCACCTCTTGTGACTGAGAACTTGAGGTAGTGAAAAGCAAAAGGAATTTTTCCCTCTGTTACAAGTTAAAGGGCTGTTAAATGATCCTGGTTCATACAAGATCCCAATCAGACACAAGACCCTCGGCTGACCTTGCTGTGGTCAAAAGCAACAGTTTAAAAACTAGTAGATCTACTTTTACTAATGCATGAAAATAAAGTAGGTACCAATATGATCTCTTGAAATAAAGTGAAAAACAAATATTCTTTTTTCTTAGCAGATTAGGATTTTAGAGGTCAAATAAGCTTTAAGTGTGCTGCTCAAGACTGCTTACTAGGTGACTCAAAGAGTTATCAGCTTAAAACGGGAGTAAGGACAGAAGGCAGCTGCCAGCTGTCCAGGTTAACTTAGCAATCCAACAGTTAGAACTCCGTGCGTCCAGCACAGCAAAATCCAACAGAAAACTCAGAAAGCAACCAATCTCCTTTTGAACAGTAAGTTCTGGTTGGCTACTGAGCCCAAGTAGGGACTGGATTGCTGACCATGGGAACCCATGATCCTGCGACCTGAGCTGCTCTCCTGAATGGAATGCTCTATTGGTCCCCTCAGCTAGGAGAGCTCTCCAGGTTCCAGTAGTCTATATAACACTGGAAGTGAAGCAGATTATTAAAGGTGAAGTTACAGGAATAGGTGGCTCTATGTATGCCAACCTCTGCCACACTTCAGCTAAGCTTTATTGATGGCAAGTTCTCTTTGATCATTTAACTAAAGAGGATTTTATAAATAACTTTATACAATATGCTGGTGTCAGCTAAAGTGGATCGCATCACTGCAAGACAGAAGGGAAACACTCTCAGTGTAGTGTACCTTAAGTAGTCTATCTCACTGTCAACTCTGTCTAGAAGGAGGGCAGTTCTGAGCTGAGGATCTACATTCATTGGCAGTGGACAAATAATGAGTTGACAAGATGATCAGGGGCTTTAAAACACACTAGAAGATGGCAAACTAGGTGATTTGAAAAGGGCGTATGTGGAAAGCCTTCAAAATTAACCCAGAAGTCCTTTGAATGTTCACTATAAGACTTCAGGTGGAAGAAAGCCTGAGTGAAAAAGGGGAGACATCGGTTCTGTGATATCTGCCAGTTTCTTTTCCTAGTTACCTTGGGACTCGGCCAAGGAATTCAGGAACAAAGTGGGCAAGGTGACCGGGACAGAGTGAAGGCATACTCAATAGCACAGCCTTTTCTTCACTGGCTCCTGCTGATTGCCAAGTGGGCAGAAAAAGCAGAAAATGTGCCTGACAAGGTACCACATCTCAGGAGGACTCTGCACTAGGCTGAGTCCACCAAAACTCTCCCTTCATGGAAAGGACTGTGATTTTCCTTATTAATTTGAGTATTTCCTTTGAATTTGGACATGTCTTATTCACTGCCATGTATATATAGCCAAGGAACTCCATTTTATACCTAAAGATACAAGGCAATAGAAAGGGCACATAGGGATTCACAAGTCTTCCCATGTGATCCATCACCCAGAATCAAATGATCTTTTAGAATGAATCTTAAGACTCAGGGAGTTCTGGTGGCTTAGTGGTAAGGAGTTGAGCTGCAACCCAAAGGCACATGGTTTGAAGCTACCAAATGGTTCATGGGAGAAAGGCAATCTTCTCCCATGCAATTTACTGCCTCTGAAAACCCATCAGCAGGTCAGCTATGAGTTGGTCCCAACTTGATGGTACATTATAACAACTAGTTAAGACTCAGTTACAGCAATGTATTTTCAGAATCAGCCAACAATACACAGCACTATCTCATCCACAACTTGAAAACTGTGGTTACTCTGTTGATTTAGAGGTTGTTGTTATGCATTGTTGAGTTGAAACCGACCCACAGGTGATCCTCCAGCAAGTTTCCAGAGATTGTAAACTGCAAGAGAGATTGCCCATCTTTCTCTCACAGAGCAGCGGGTGGAATCAGACTGTGTGCTTTTGGGTTGGCACCACACTTTAGAGGTGGTAACAGTCAAAGCAAGCATGATGTAGGAACTGTTATCTTCTACATTTTCAGTTTGTTGCAGTGGACATAAAATTACCTTTTTTTTTTTTTTTTTTCTGGGAAGGCGAGGATGCTGGGCTCCGCCCCCAATAAAATTACTTTTATGGAAATATTACAATTTTTTTTAAAGCCTTCTAAGTGACCAATTCACCTAGGCTCTCTCTTTTATTTCAAGTTCTTGAATTGAAGTAGCTCTGGCAGTGATAATGACGGTTAACACTACTACTGCAAGCTCTGTGCATATATTACCTAATTTGTCCTTACAATAAATTTATAGGTGTTATCATCCAATGAGAGAAAGAAGTTCGAGAACTTGCCTGATGTTACACAGGTAGTAGTTAGAGAGCTCAGGGAGAAGCCAATTAGCCTGGCTCTGGAGTCCCCTTAATCTTCCTACTATATTACTTCTCTGGTCTATCACACCTAATAGATCTACTGACCACTATGCCACTGAAAGAAAGGAATTCTTACATGAAACTTACCTGGCTAATAATGATATTTTTGACTGTGTGTCCCAACTTCCAGTGCCCCAATTCATGACCTAGTACAGCAAGCACCTCCTCATTTTTACATCCTTGCTTCTTACTCTGAATCAGAGAACATACCAAAAATAAATTATCAATAACCTCCAAAATATTTCTACCTTTTAACTCAGTAATATCCCTTCTTAGATGTTGGCTTAAGAAAACTCTCACTTAAGTGAAATCATGTTACTATATGTACCATAGAGTCAGAACCAACCCATAGCTGACCCTCTGATGGGTTTTCAGAGGCAGTTAATTGCACAGGAGACTGCTCATCCTTCTTCTGAAGAGGAGGAGGTGGCCTCAAACCGCATGCCTTTGGATTGCAGCAGTTTCCTGCCATTGGGCCACCAGAGCCTAGTGAGTCAATATGCCAGACACCGTGTTAAGCATTAAAGATATAATCAAGACTAAAAGAAACATTCCCTGACTTAATTGTTTATTGTCTAGATTAAGCTAAATTATCACAAACAGGGGAACTCTAGTAGCCAGGGGAACTCAGGGAGTTGCTCTGTTAACCCTAAGGGGACATTTCACTTTGAATCCAAGAGAGAAAAATAAGCAATCTCCTCCTGTGCAATTTACAGCCTCAGAAAACTCACTGGAGGATCCGCTCTCAGCTGGTTTCAATTCATTGGTAATGAGCTTTTGGGGTTTTTTTGAGATACAGATCTAGAAAACAGACTGGAAGTAAATACAGAGATGTGAAGTAGAGAACACATATGATCCAATACAGGAAAGAAGGGAAGAGGAGCTCTAGGATAATGAAAAGGCAATCCTGGAATGACAACTGCATACCAGATAGGAGAGGTAAAGGGATCCAGATTTAAAGAGGGAGACTCAAGAGAGCATCTGTTGAGGTGTGCCATCAGCTATCATCAAACTCTGCCACTGTACCATCTTTGTAACCTGATTAAGTAAGCCACTGGAAAGTGTACTCACCAAGAGGAGAGAATAAATCAATACAAAGGAAAGTATGGAAGGATGATTACAAAGGGAAGTCTCATATGAGAGCTATAGGGCAGGCCTATAGCAAAATTGTCTTAAAGAGGAGAATGAAGATCCTTCTCAAACGTTAGAGGGATGAACAGGAGGCTGAAATCATTAAAGCTGATGATGTAACTAGCCTGATAAAAATTATTTAAAGAGCTAGCTAGAAGTTGTAGGAAGAATTAGCAAAAAAGGTGCAAATCAGCAACTGGCTATCTAAATGGGGGATATTAGGGTATGAGGCATGAAGTAGCTGGCTTACATGCTTTCAAAAAATAGTTGTGGAATGATTTTGTAAGGAAGGAGATAAAACAAACAATATAAATTAATGAAATATAATGTAAATTCAGGACTGTATGGAACACAAAACACACAACACACACACACACATTTAAAAGGTACAAAGAAAACAAAGGGTATTTTTTAAAAAGCAATTTTTAAGAAAAATCCAACTTTTAGTTAATTTTTTCCTTTTAATTTTCTTGTCCCTCCTTTAACAAGTGGGAGAAGTTTAAGCATACTTAGCCATGAGTAATAACTGAATATGTAGACGAATATGAACAGAAGAGAATAAAAAAGAACATAAACAGAAGAGAGTAGCATACATATATTATTTAGAAACATGGATATGTGTAAACGTCAGAGAAACATACTAAAAGTTAAAGTTTAATTAAATAAACGAAATAATTTTAGCATGCACATTTGCACTGCCAAAAATGAAAATATAAATAATAGATGGCTATACAAATGATCCTGTACAATGTTTTTTGTTGTTATATGCCGTCAAGTCGCTTGCGACTCATGGTGACTCTACAACCCTGCTCTATCCTGTGCCAATCTTATTGTCTCTGACACACCTACCCCTACTACCCCAGTGACTGAATCAATCCATCTCATTGAGGGTCTTTCTCTCCTGCACTGTGCCTGTCTTTGAGCTATGGTGTTGGAGAAGAGTATTGAATATACCATGGACTGCTAAGAGAATGAACAGGTTCGTCCTAGAGAAGGTTAAACCAGGCTGCTCGTTGGAGGCAAGGATTCTGAAGCTTCGTCTGACATACTCTGGACATGATGCAAGGAGGGACCAGTCCTTGGAGAGGGACGTCATGCTTGGGAGGGTGGAGTACAACATTTATAAAGCTAAATAAAATTCTTCCCACTTATGAACTCTCCAGATTCATTGTAGGCAGTGCCAAGACAAATAAATCAACAGCCGATTTTACAGCCACACTCACATTTATACTCATTCACAAATACATACATACACCTCTCAACATCTGCTTTTGGTATTATTACTAACACAAATAAACTCACTGCCATGGAATTGGTTCCAACTCCTAGCAACCCTCCATTGGGCTTTCTGAGGCTGTAAATCATCAGAGGGAGATTGCCCATCTTTCTTCTGAGGAGCTGAGTGGGAGTGGATTCAAATCACCAGAGAAGCCTGGCCTTTCAGTTAGCAGTGCAACTTGCTATAGGCTATGCCACCAGACAGTTTGAAAAACCTTCTCATTACAAACATTAAAAAATGCTGGACCAAGGGAGGTCTGTGGCCTGGTGGCAGGAAGCTGCAGTGTAATCCCAGAAATGCACAGTTCAAATCCACCAGATATTCTCCTGGAGAAGGAGGGACAATTTCCTCCTGTACCAGTCAGATTCGATTTGACAGTACACACACACAAAAAAATTTTTTTTTAAAAAAAAGCTAAATCAGTTATTACAACTATAAATTTTTTTAAAAAAAAAATTATTTTTTTTGGAACTCATCTGAACATCAGATATACCTGGTGTTGGTTAGCAAGAACCGTTTGTACATTTGATATTGATGGTGCCAAAACCAAAACAGTGACTGGACATGATGGGGAGAGATGTTGAGAACAAAGATCTGATTTTAGAAAGGAAAATAAAAGCCAGTCAGATTTTGGTGAGGATGCAAAACCTGGTCAACAAAATCCTTTTACAAAATACAAATTTCTTAAGAAAACCTGGAAGGATAAACTGAGAAAAGGAAGCCAGCAAGGAGGAGACAGGAAGAAGTGGAGAAGAGAAAGACAAGAGATAAAAGAGACGAAGAAGAAAATAGAGTTGAGTACAATGAAGGTGCAGAAGCTGCCCTGCCCGATGGCATTAAAAAGCCCTTTACTCTTTAATGACTGTCCCCTGAAAGTATGTGTGTGTCTTAGCCATTTATGAAATGAGGTTAGTTATCTGATTTCTTTCCTTTCTTCCCAAATGTACTGACCTAAACGCTGAAGTTAAAAGTTTATATTTGTGGTGTGAGAGCGGGAAGATGGTGGCGGTGGTGGTGGTAGAGTTCCAGAGAGCCCAGTCTCTACTCAGCACCGACCGGGAGGCCTCCATCGACATCCTCCACTCCATCATGAAACGTGACATTCAGGAAAATGATGAGGTAGCAATGCAGGTCAAAGAGCAGAGTATCCTGGAACTGGGGTCTCTCCTGGCTGAGACTGGACAAGCTGCAGAGCTTGGAGGACTCCTGAAGTATGTACTACCCTGCTTGAATCCATCAGCAAGGCTAAAGCAGCCCGACTGGTTCGGTCTCTTCTTGATCTGTTTCTTGATATGGAAGCAGCTACAGGTCAAGAGGTCGAGTTGTGTTTAGAGTGCACTGAGTGGGCCAAATCAGAGAAAAGAACTTTCTTACGCCAAGCTTTGGAGGCAAGACTAGTGTCTTTGTACTTTGATACCAAGAGGTACCAGGGGTAAGACTGAGAAAAACTGGATGAAATATGTTTATGGCACTGAAGTCTATGGGGGAGAGAATAGTTTAAAAGTATCATATTTTAGGGAATTATGTTTATCGTAGGAGTACACAATGAGCGTTGCAGAGTGGATTATATTTGGGGTTGGGGGTGGGATTGGGGGAGGTGCGGGGGGGATTGTGTACCAACGAGGGAGTTTTTCTTTTGCTTTTCAAGGAGAGGAGCAAACGGGGGGGGGTTTGAGATGGGGTGGGCGGGGAGAAGGGTGCAACAATGAATGAATGGAATTCCAAAATCTCTGTAGATGTTCATTGAAATGAAAAATAAATAAATTAAAATATATATAAAAAAAGAAAGCTGAACAATGACTAGGGATGATAAAAGGAGAATTGATGCCTTTGAGATACAGTGCTGGAGAAGAGTATTAACTATATCATGGACTGTTAGGAAAACAAACAGGTTCGTCCTAGAGGGGGTGAAACTGGACTCCTCCTTGGAGGCAAGAATTCTGAAGCTTTGTCTGACATACTGTGGGCATGTTTCAAGTAGGGATCAATCCTTAGAGAGGACATCATGCTTGGAAGGGTGAAGGGACAGGGCAGTGAGGAAGACCCTGGATGAGATAGGATGACTCAGTGACTGGGGTGATGGGAGTAGGTGTGTCAGAAACAATAAGTTTGGCTCAGGGTATAGCCAGGTTAAGAGCTGTTGTACTTAGGGTCGCTATCAGTCACAGGCCACTTCACAGCACACAACAACAACAAAACAATTTCACATAAAAGAATAAAAATCATGATTCATCATCTAATTTTTTAGAACGCTTTCTTATTTATACAATTAACATACTACCTCACTTGATCTTCACAACACCAAGCTGTACGTGATGGAAAGTGTCACCATCATTTTAAGAACGACAAAAAAGAAGCTGAGGAACTAGTCTTGCTTAAGATCATCTTTCCAGTAAGTGGCAGGTAAAGCCACACTTCTAGCTCTGGAGCCTGAGTCTTTTCTAGTATACTGTATTTGTTGGCTAATTGTCTGCATGAACTCTATAGGGAAATTTCTGCTGTTATATTACTGAACATTTTGATTAAAGACTCCACAGAAGAATCTTGATCAAAAAAGGGTAAAACACAGAACAAAATTTCAAATTCTCATAGGTTCCGGATTTCCTGGCGCTGTGAAGGTTGGATGAATTCCCTGAAACTTGTTCTAAGATAATCTTAAAAAAAAAACATCTCCTATAGTCTTCTTAAAACCTAACTAATAATAACTTAACTTTAGGAAAAAATATGCCTGCCTTGAGCATTATGCTCTTTTAAGAATGATCTATATGGGAGGGAGGGAAGGACTATTTACATGGGATCAAAACTGGTATCAGCAATGGAATAAGCAGGAACCTCAGGGAGCAGTGAAATCATGTTAACGGAGAAGAAATAACTCCCAAAAGAAGGGTGGGAAGAGTTGTGCAACTCAAAAAGCATAGTCACTACACTTGATGGTGCATCTACAAACTGTTGAACTGGTCTATGTTTTGCTGTTTATATTCTCCAAAATAAATAAATAAAACGATATTTCAAAAAAGATGGATTTTATATATTTCTAGAGCTGAAACTATCTTTATAGCCTCTACTTATTATACATGAGGTATTCAGTAGTTAGTTCTGAATAAATCAGTTTGCTGAAATTCTGTCCAGTCTAGGTACTATGTGATTACTAATAGTGGTGTGTGTGTTTCTAATTAAATCTGTATTGCTTCTTATTCCTGTCCCTCTCTCTCACTTAGTCTGGGTACTTTAACTTCCACTAGTCATCATGATAATTACCTCAAGTGAACTAATTCGGGAAACGATTCATAAAAAACTTTCTCAGACTCTCAGATTAAAGAGATGTCTTATATGTTCACAGGATCCAGTACATACGGCTTCACTGCAGTAATCATCAGACCGATTTTGACTGTACTACTGGCTCTTTTTAAACTGTAAGTGCCTTATCTTATTTTGTATTCCTGGGTCTGGAGATCAGCTATGGTAAGTTCTGACTTGATGGTACTCAACAACAGCAACAACAGAAGTGTCAAGCAGAGTATTCAAGTCCAAATAAATTAAAACAGACTAAAGACATAATCTACTCACGGACAGCTGCTAGTGACACATCCATATTTCAAATCCAAGTCTCTCCATGTTAAAGTTTACCAACAGGCTCTGGTGGTGCAGTGGTTAAAACACTCAATTATGAACCAAAAACGAACTCTGGTGGCTTAGTGGTATGGAGTTGCACTGCCAAGTCAAAGGTAAGTAATTTGAATCCACAAGCTGCTTTGTGGGAGAAAGACAGGCAATCTCTTCCCATGAGATTTACTGCCTCTGAAGACCCGCTGGAGTTTTGGAGCTATGAGTCAGTTCTGACTCAATGGTACATAACATTGACCAAAAGGCTGGTGGTTTCCACCAAGGAGAAAAATAAGGCTGTCTGTTTCTGTAACATTAGCCTTGAAAGCCCTACAGGGCAGTTATACTCTGTTCTCTAGGGTCAATGAGTCAGAATTGACTAGACAGCAGTGGGCTGGCTGGCTGGTAATTATTTAACAGCCTACAAACTGAAAAACAAACCTACTGCTGCTGAGTTGATTCTGACTCATGTTAACCCTCCACTGGATTTCTGAGGCTGTAAATCTTTATGAGAGGAGACTGCCTATCTCTCACCCACAGAATGGTAGATGGATTTGAACAACTGACCCATCAGCAGCCAAAATGTTACATGCTGTGCCATAAAGGTTCCTCTATAAGTCAAGTCTCGACACAAAACTTAGATGTTATTCTATACTGTCTCTGGGAACCTTTGATCCTAAACATATCATAAACATATGTATCCCTGTTTTAAAATACCTTATAATCACATGAATTTTCCTACCCTACTCTTCCAATTTTAACAATGACAGTCTATAAAACTTACAAGGGAGCTGGCATGGGATAATAGTGATGATCACCAAAATTATAAATACCTAAATTATAAAGGGGCCATGGTGTTTTTATTTGAAAGTCTCTATGAATTCAATATGTACTGAGTAGAAATTATTGTTATTCTGAGTTATTATAGGAACTGTTTATAAAACTAACTCATAGCCTTTTAGAAAAAAAAACTCACTTTCACTTTGGCCTTTATTTCTTCACTGTCCCCTTCTCCATCTTTGTGGGGTTCCATGACAGATTCTTCCTGGATGTCTTTGTTTAGGACAGAGTACTCTTCTAGTAGAGTGTCAAACAAAACTATTCGCTTGTTCTTGAAGAAGCCATAAAAATAAGCATTGCTATGAGAAGAACGTTTAGATCCTAAGGAAAAAACAGTTCAAAGCATGGTGAATAATTAAAGTTTAGGGTTCTATGGAGAGACTCCTAGACATTTAGTTATTAGAAAAGACATTATAACATTTGCAAGTTTTAAAATATCTGAATAAAAATGGTTTCATCATAAATTACTACAGCTGTGAAGTGTCTGCTTCCTTCCCTGCAGCCTTGCCAGTAAATCATTATGCTCTTCGCAACATTACTTATAGAATTATATAAATAAAGTTAAATACCCCAGAGTAGCTACATGATTACAGGGTGAAATTTTATTCAGCTGGAGGGGAAACTACACTGTAGAAGATTTTTCTTTTTTCCCATAAAGAAAAAGGTCTTTCAAAATGCAGCCTGTCCAAACGCTCCAGAGCTGGAGATACAGATCATTTCCCCCACCAACACTAGGCAGGGACTACTGTTCTACCCATCTTTTTAAAGCAGAAAAAGTCTAAATGTCGCTGGTTTTCATAATTAGCATTCTCCAGGACAAGCCAAGTCCAATAAGGCTTGGGGTAAGACCACTGTTGAGGGACTGAGTCCCAGAACAAGTCACGACTGGGAGCTGGAGGAGAGAGAAGCCTCCATGCTGGTCCGGGGATTCTGGGGCCCAGAGGCACGAGGCTGCTCCTCCTGTGGAGTCCCCTTGATGGCAGAGCTCTGCTAGGCAGCTGCTTATCACTAACAAAATCCAGCCACTGGCACCTGCTGCTGCTTAAGGAACTTGTTGAAGAGCTCCATGTACTGGACCATAGTATCCGCCGGCCCATACACAGCATCATGTCTATTCCTAAACACTGGGAGCTCCAGGTGGGTGGCTGCCTGGTAGGTGGCTGCCTAGAAAATTCTGTAGAAACTCAAGCCGTAGGTTCCAGTAGTCACTTGCTACCACACAAGGACCATAATCCACCTCTACAAAGATGCTCTGGACATTGGGCCTCAATGTGACTGGGCCTACCTTTACTACATTTTGGAAGATTTTTAACAAGACAAAAGAATGCTCACCAATACACAATGAAGGATGCAAAATTTCATTGTCAAGAAACAAAAAATACAAGCATGGAGAAAAACATATTAAGGAAATTTCTGTATTAAGCGTATTTCTTACTCTAGATATAGATATAGATTATTGTTTCCTTCTTTATTCTTTTCTCTCTTTTCCAAGGTTGTTTAAAAAAGCATATTTACTTTATATAATCAGAAACAAATTAAAGTTATTAAGAAAACAAGACTAGAAGAAAACATAACAAAATATTGAGTTGTTAACTTTAGTTGATCTTTTATTTTCTTTATATTTTCCTATATTTTCTAAATATCATACAGCATATAGTGAATTTAGTAAGCAGGAGTTGTTGTTGTTGATTGCTGTCGAGTACAGCACAACTCATAGTGACTCTATGAACAAAAGGCCTAAAAGCCTTTCTATAACTACTGATATTTATCAAAGTTCATAGAGTTTCCAGAGGCATGTTGTTTAGGAAGTGGATGCCACTCCTGCTCCCAATCAGAAATACAGATTTTCAAATCCTGGTTCCACCATGTATTATTGTAGAAATTGAGTAAATATTTTCTTAATTTCTTGTATTGTTCATGTTGATTTTGCTGGATTTGGTTAATAACTATGTAAGATATTCTAAGTAAAAGGTACAGATTTGGAATTTTTTATACTGCCTGGTCCCTATAAACTATTACTATTATTGATATATATTTTTAAATATAGTAATAGTATTTACATATATACCTATATCATAAAATATAGTTATATCTTTTATATAATTTTAAACAAATGACGTTTGTTTCTTCTGAGAATTTGAGGTTTCTTATAGAAAACATGAATTTCCTATTTGCTCATGTGCCTAATTCAAAGTATTATTACTATATCTGGACTATGTTGTCATTTTTAGGTGCTGTTGAATAAACAACAACTCATAGCAACTCTATGACCAACCATTCTAAACCTTGCCCTAAACTCAAAACTCACTGCTGAATGAGAAATTTTCATAGCAAATTTTCTGAGGCTGTAAATCTTACAGGAGGAGAGTATCCATCTTTCTATTGCGGACTCACTCATGGATTTGAATTGTCAATGAGGTGTCATTTGTGGGTTAGCACCACAACTCCCTATAGACTATGACACCACAGGAGAACTTGACAGAGTTGTTGTGTGCTGTCAAGTTGGAACAGACTCATAGCTGACCCTGCAGCGGGTTTTCAGAGGCAGTAAACTGCACAGAAGGAGTCTGTCCATCTGTATGTCTTTGCGATTGTAACATAGCTTCTTGCCACTAGGCTACGAGTGCTCTAGATAAATACAAGTTATTACTTATTTTATTATTATTATTGTGTCTTTTTGGCTTGGTTGCCTGGAAGTTAAGAGGCAAACATGCTGTCCAACATTTTGTCAGTAGGACCTTAAGGTCTGGAAAAGTTATGTATCATTTTGACCTATCTAAAGGATCTCAAAGTGTGACTCAAGTAAATCTCGCAAAATCACCAAGAGGTATTTATAAGAAGTTGTTGTTGCTGTTATGTGCCGTCGAGTCACCTGTGACTCACAGCGACCTATGAGCCCTAAACCCTAAACCTAAGAGCCCTAAACCCTGCTCTATCCTGTGCCAACCTTACTGTCTCCAACACACCAGCTCCCATTACCCCAATCACTGAATTGATCCATCTCATCAAGGGTCTTCTTCCTCTCTTGTGCTGTCCCTCCACCTCCCAAACATAAATAACCCTCTCCAAGGACTGGTCCCTCCTTGCAACATGCCCAAATTATGTCAGACATAACTTCAGAATCCTTGCCTCTAAGGAGAAGCCCGGCTTTACACTCTCCAGGACAAACCCATGGTATATTCAACACTCTTTTCCAGCACCATGGCTCAAAGGTATCAATTCTCTTTCTATCATCCCTAGTCACTGTTCAGCTTTCTGACGCATAGCAGGCAACTGTGAAGACTATGGTCCGGATCAGGTGCACCTTAGTCTCCAGCCTGACGTCGCTGCTCTTCAGTACTCTTGAGAGGTCCCTGACAGCTGACTTTCCCAATGCAATTTGTCTCTTGATTTCCTGGCTGCTGGTACCATGAGTGTTGACTGTGGAACCAAGCAAACTAAAACTGTTAACAATCTCAGTCTCTTCACCATTCATACTGATGCTGCCAATTGGCCCAGTGGTAAGAATCTTTGTTATCTTGATGCTGAGCTTCAATCCATATTGAAGGTTGCAGTGCTTGACCTTCTGCAGCAAGTACTTCAGGTCCTTCAGTTTCAGCAAGCAGGGCTGTGTCATCCTGCATAACGCAGGTTGTTGATGAATCTTCCTCTAATCCTGATGCCACATTCCTTCTCATACAGCCAAAAGTCCCAGATGATCTGTTCTGCATACAGATTGAAAAGGTATGGAGATAGAATACATCCCTGGCAGACACCCTTTCCAATTTTGAACCATGCAGTGTCTCCTTGCTTTGTTCTGATGACTGCCTCTTGGTTCAAGTATAGGTTTCGCATAAGCACAATCAAATGTTCTGGAATTCCCATGCTTCTCAGAGTCAGCCACAGTCTGTTGTGATGAGAAGTAGATAACAGAATTATCTGGAATGGAACCCTGGAAACCTGTCTTTGCACAAACTCTCCAGAGACTCTAATACTCACTAAAGTTTTAGAGTTCCTACACTATACCATAAACTTTTTTATAAGCTTTTGTGTCTGGCACATATTATAAATTCAATGTTTGTTATTGAGTGAAAACTTTTAATGTATGAAATAATGTATTTGACAGCTCTGAAAATCAAAATGTTCTACATAAATGTAAGGTACTGCCCTTTGTCTTCCTCTTTTGTTCATAACTCATCTTAACCAACTCCTCAGGAGAATGACACAACTGACTTCTTTCCTCAAAACGCTTTCTTATTCTGGCTTCTAGGACTCCAACTCTCTCCTTGTTTTCGTCTTACCTCAATGGGCCTTCTTCCTCAGCCTCTTAACTAGCTCTCCCTCTGCAATACTGACCTGGGCCCCCTTCTCTTCTCAGAGTGTTCCATGGCATTAACTGCATAAGTGCCAGTTCCTGAAGGTTAGATGCAACTTGCTGTGATCCACTCTGTCAAATGTCTTTGCATAGTCTACGAAACACAGACAGACATTCCTCTGATACTCTGCTTTCTGCCAAGATCTGACATTGGCAATAATGTCTCTAGTGTCACGATTCTTCTAAATCCAGATTGTATTTCTGGAAGTTCTCTGTCAATGTACTGTTCCAGTTGTTTCTGGATAATCTTCAGCAGAATTTTGCTAATGTGTGATATTAGTGACATCGTTGTATAATTTCCACATACTGTTGGGTAACCTTTTTTTGGAATGATAATAAATATGGATCTCTTCTAGTCATTTGGCCAAATAGTTGTCCTCCAGATTTCACGCACAACTTGGTGAGCACATCCAGGGCAGCACCTGTTTGTTGAAATACGTCAATAGGTATTCTTAATTCCTGGGGCTTTATTGTTTTGCCAAGTCCTTCTGTGCAGCCTGAACTTCCTCCTTCATCACCACTGCCTCTTGATCATATGTTGTTTCTTGAAATTCTTCTGTGTCAGCCACTTCGTCTTTGTACAATAACTCTGTATACTCCTTCCATCTTCTTTTAATGCTTCCGGAATCACTCAATATTCTGCCTGTAGCATCCTTAAGCATTGCACCTCACAGCTTGAATTTTTTTCTTCAGTTCCTTCAACTTAAGAAATGCTGAGCAAGTTCAGCCCTTTTAACTGTGGCTAACCTTGAGGAAACTGGGAATCCCAGAACATTTGATTGTGCTTATGTGAAACCTATACTTGCACAAGGAAGCAATCCTCAGAACAGAGCAAGGAAACACTGCATTGTTCAAAGTCAGGAAAGGAGTGTGTTAGGGATACATCCTGTCTCCATACCTTTTCAATCTATATGCAGAACAGATCAATCAGAAAGCAAGGCTTTATGAGAAAGAATGTGGCATCAAGATTGGAGGTAGACTCAGGAACAACCTACATTATGCAGATGACACAACCTTGTTTGCTGAAACTGAAGAAAACCTGAAGTGCTTGCTGCAGAAGATCAAGGACTATAGTCTTCAATATGGATTGAAGCTTAACATCAAGAAGACAAAAATTCTCACTACTAGGCAAACTGGCTGCACCATGATAGAGAAGAGACTGAGGTTGTTAACAGTTAGTTACAGCTTGCTCGGCTCCACAATCAAACTCTTAATTAACACCAGCAGTCAGGAAATCAAAAGACATTGGGAAAATCTGCTGTCAGCCACCTCTCCAGAGTGCTGAAAAGCAACTTTTAATTGTCTTCACAATTACTTGTTATGCTTCAGAGAGTTGGACAATGACTAAGGATGACAGTAGAAGAATCAATGCCTTCAAACTATGGTGCTGGAGAAGAGTCTTGAACATACCATGAACTGCCAAGAAAATAAATAGAGCCCTTGGACAGACTATACAGAGGCAGCTAACTGCACAATGCAGCAGAGCAATGAGGAATTCACTCCTACTGCTAGTGGCAGGGATGGTAAGAAAACAGTGTTTTGAGTGACAGCAGCAGTGTCCTCACCAGGTTGGTTCTGCAATTTGAGTTTGAGTTCCTTGTCTCATTTAGAAATAGCACATTTCCTAAGTCTGGTGAACTTAACTTTGCTGGCAATTTTGTGAGCTATCAAACAATAAGCAAGTTTTTCCTGCTGAAACACATCACAGTTGGTTTCTATTACTTAGAGAACCGTAACAAATACAGTGTCTAATTAACAACTCACTGTGTTCTAAACACATTCAATAGAACACTTAATTTCCCAAAGAATCTGTTCTTCCTCCAGTGTTACATCACAGTATACCAACACCTATTTGTTCAGGAGAAATATTAAGTTATTTTTGGTTTCCTTCTTTCCCTATACCCTCACATGTTCTATTAACAATCCCACCAACTGTGCCTCTAAAATATATCCCAAGTGCATCCATTTCTCTTTATCCAATTACTTCTGTTCTAGTCTAAACTACCATTATCACCTGCCTAGACTATTTTAACAGGTTCCTGTTTTCTCCTTTCTGCTCAGGCTTTTCTCTACAAACTATTCTCAACTCAGAAGTCTCTGATATTTTAAAGAGATAAACCATAATATATTGGTCACATTCACTTAAACTCGGCAATGACTGTTCTGATCTTAAAGTCTAGGCTCCTTACCCTGACTTACAAAGACCTACCTAGTCTGATTCTTGCCTGCATCCTAGGACTTCACTTCAGGCTACTCTTTCTATGGGTACTGGAATGCTGAGCTCTGGAAAGTTTTCAATGATCTCAGTAGGAATGGCTCCTTCCTTTCACTCCGTTTTCAGTCTAAATGTCATTGCTCACAGAGGTCTCCCTGATGATTCATTCTACAGTGTCCACTCAACCATTCTATATCACGTCGTACCAGTTAAACTCTCTGCACAACACTTGTTATCTGAGTCTTTTTAAAGAGCCGAAATCTTAAACTTTCAGTACAATAACTCCAGCAATTCACAATCTTTAATGTCTGTTGCTATTAGTAGTAGACACAGCATTCATTTATTTAAAATATTTTAAGGACTGTGATTATCATCACTTGTAATAAAAACATACATTATACTTGACTAAACTGCTGTCTTGGTTACTCTGATGCCTTAGTGGGTAAGAAGTTGTATTGTCAATCCAAAGGCATACAGTTTGAATCCACCAGCTGCTCCATGAGGAAAGATGGACAATCTCCTCCTGCGCAATTTACAGCCTCTAATAATCCACAGGAGGATCAGCTATGAGTCAGTTCCAACTTGACAGCACACAACAACAAACTGCTGTGTACCAAACGTAAGTTGACCAGTCACACAGCTAGTTCACAGCAGAGCTAGGATTCACTTCCAAAGTAACCCGACTGCAAAGTCTGACCTCTGAAGTACTATTCCATCTACTTAAATCTTGGTTTTTTTATAATATTAATTTTATAATTGTTGTTGAGTACCGTAGAGTCAAAACTGACCCATAGTTGACCCACCAGTGGGTTTTCAGAGGCACATAACAACAATTTCATAATCCTTCATTAAGTCTTCCCTATTTCTCCCCAAATTAAAATGGCAGACATCACATATTCCATCAGTTACCTCTACTATTACCTGCTGTTTCATATTATTAGATTATAATGTAAGTCATAAACAACTTAGTTTGCCCTATCAGCAAAAAAGTCTCTTAGAGATTACTTTTGTATTGGTTAGTGGCTATCAGTTTAACAGTAAATAAAGTAGAGTAGGTTGAAGAAGCAAGTATACATTAACTTGTTCTACCAATTTTCTACAGAGTGTTGAGCAATTTCAGTTGTGTATATAGTTAGGTTGTTACACCCTCTGGAGCCTCGAATACTCTTCCAATGTTACTATTGTTCTTTGGTGTCATCAACTCAACGCTAAGCGACTCTGTGCACAACAGACCTGAACCCTCTCCTATCATGTGCCATCCTCACCATCGCTGACATACCTGAGCCCATTGCTGTTATCACTGTCAATCCATCTCACCGAGACTCTTCCTCTTCTGGTTGCTATTAATTCATTCTTCGCATTTATCACTATCTCTTGTTCTCCTTTGACCCTGCTTCTCAGATTTTACCCTTTCTTCTAATATAGTTGCTTCACATTGATGGTTTTTCCAGTTTAGAGTAAGGATCAGCAAACTACAATCTCTAGTTTAACCCTAGCCTGTAGCTAGCATTTGCAAGAAAACCTTGCTCATTTGTTTATATATTGTGTATGGTTGCTTTTGCATCACAATGGCAAAACTGAACAACTGGTACAGAGACTATACACATAGCCCACAAATTCTAAAATATTGACTATCTGACCCTTTAAAGAAAAAAAAAACCTTAACAATTTGTAATTTAGAGGAAGCAAAACTGAAACAGAGAAATGAAAGCATTTTATTGTCTAAGATCTCATAGCTAGTGAGTGGTAAAAGCAGAAACAGTCTTATTCATTTAATGGGGTTTTATTGATTAGAAAGTCATGGTACTTTATCATATTTTCTATATCACTACTTCCTTGAAACTTTCAATATTAATCCTGAAAAAAGCAGAGTACCACTACTTTGCAGTTAAATCTGAGTTCCCCAGAACAGTGGATCTTTTGTTGGAGGGGACAAAGCAAAAATTGTCCTAACTAGAACTTTAGTCCCAATCAGCTACCTAAAGGTGCTAGGAAGGTAACAAAATAAGTAAATCAGTTCAATGTGCAACACGATAAAACAGAATCAATAAAAATTTTGGCCAGAAATGAAAAAAATAATACTTGAAGCCAACCAAAAACAACGGCAGGCAGGCAGAACAGGATCTGGCATCTGGCCATGAGTCTCTATCCCTGAACAATATGAACAATATGAATTCTGACAAATTACAATTCTTACAAATCTTTCAAAGTCATCTTAACATGTAATAATTTTTAAAAACCACCAATTCACCATTTTATCAATGTTCTAAGACTGAAATGCAAATAAAACAACAAACAACTAAATGCCATCAAGTCAGAACCGAATCATAGCTGACCCTCCAGCAAGTTTTAAGAAGCTATAAATTGCACAAGAGATTGCCCATCTTTCTTCTGAGGCGCAGCTGGAAGATTCAAACTGCCTGCTTTTAGGTTAGCAGTGCAATGCCTTATTCACTAGACCACCAATGCTTCCTTAAATAAAACAATCAACTCAAATAAAACCTTCTTACCCTCAAGTAGCTTACCTTCAACAACATATACTTTAGTCAGAGGAAAATCAATACTTTTTGCCATTATTTCAATTTCTTGTTTCAGCTTTCCTTCAGGCAGAGGTGTGAATTTGTCAAATAAAGGAGCAATATAATCTGCATAGATTGTGACAAGCACCTGGAAAGGAGAAGTAAGAATAGTCAAAGAATATTTTATTAAAGAAACCTCTAAAAAAAAAAAGGAAAGAAAACTCTACTCATTATTGTTGTTCTTGTGTAAACCAGCTCATAGCTAACCTCCAATGAGTTTTCAGAGGCAGTTACCTGCATAGGAGATTACTCATCTTTTCCTGTGGAGCAGCTGGTGGATTAGAACTGTGTATTATTGGGTTGTTTGTCCAGCTCTTTACCACTAGGCCACTAGAGCTCCCTAACCATTATTACGACCCATTTATTAACTGTCTACACATTCAGACGGTCAAGAACCTGAAGAAATACTCAAGATCATTCTCTGCTAGAGATACAAATCGAAACAAAAATGAGATAGCAAATTATCCCAGTAATAACAGCAAATGCTGGTGAGGATGTGGAGAGATTGGAACTCTAACATACTGTTGGTGGAATTATAAAATGGTGCAATCACTGTACAAAGCAGTTTCATGTGATCCAACAATCCCACTGTTGTTGGGTTGGCAGCACAAGTCCTTAAGTCAGAAAAAGAAATAGCATGTAATTCAGCAATCTCACTACTATGTCTATATCCCAAAGAAATAAAAGCTGTAACATGAACAGATATATGCATACACATGTTCATCGCAGCATTATTTACAATTGTTGTTATTATGTGCCATTGAGTCGCTTGCAACTCATGGCAACCCTGAGTTGTACTCATGTACAACAGCCCTGAAATCTATTCTATCTTGTGCCAATCTTATTGTCTCTGACATACCAAACAGAAAAAACCAAACTAAGTACCCACCAACAGATAAATGGAAAAAGAAAAAAAATATGGTACATCTAAGAAATGTAGTACTGCAATAAACACTGAAAATTCAATTATTAAGAATTAGTGAAACACTACTTAACATGGATGAAACTACAGGAAATGATGCAGGGTGGAAGAACTCCTGTCACAATAGTACAAATACTTGTCTAAGTCCACTATTATAAAAAGCTAAGGGAAAAGGCATCAGATCAGCAAAGAGATGGTTAAACTGTCGCTATATACAGATGACATAATAGTGTACACAGAAAACCCCAAAGACTCAAT